GACCTGGGGCCCGTTCTTCGTACGTCGCTAACTCCGTTAGCTGGATTTGATTGTTGACGATTTGGCATGATCTTGGATTGTTTGGTTCTTCGAAGCTCATCCCGGAGTTGCTGTCACAGCAACAGGTCGGTAAGCTTAAACCTGTTCGGGAGCAGGCTTATTTCATGTAAACAGGATTAGATTGCACCTTTTTTAAGCAGAATTGATACTTAAAATCTGTCCCAGCCACCGTTACTTTATTACAAGAGTACCCTACTAATCCAGGGACAATCATTTAAAATAATAATCATTTAAAAAGTCATTTAAAGATAATTATAATAATGTTGTGTAGTCTTTAATATTATAGACACAGCCAGTTTTACTCACTGAAAGATGTATTCGTCATAAAATTATTACTTCATAATTGTATTCGAGTCTTACACACATGCTATACAGATATTGTAGAGTCGTGCATTAATTTGAGTGATGACAGCTATTATGGGAGTGGCTTGATGGAGTGCAGGAGATGCAGATGACTTGATCTTGACCCTTAAGAAACTTTAATTAATGCAGTCACATAACAAATCTGTTCAAATATAAAATTAAATGAATTGCTAATTACTACATTGAAATAAAAATGTAAAGCCTGTACAAATATTAGAAATCGTGAATATAAATAATTGAGAATCATGTAAAAAAAAATTAAAATAAAATAAAAACAGTGCACATTTCATTTATCTATTATAACATTTATGTAGTTTTGTTCGCTTGGCTGTTTCCTTATAAAAGTCCAAAAATGTGTCAAGTTTTTCGTTTGGATGTGACATTTCATCTCGAATGTAATAAGCGACGTATGAAGAACGGGCCCCAGAACTGGCTGTTATATAAACATCATTGTGGCACAGCATGTACAATTTCAATTTATGAATTTCAAAAGGTTTTGAAAAGAGCTTGACAGATTTCTTTGAAAATCATTAGTAGGCCAGTTTTACTCTCTCTGAAGAGTACATCATTATTTTTTAACAGCTGAGCTGTGATTTTGACCTCACAAACACCCAACAGTGAGGTTTGACCCCAAAACAACCACCTACGTTTCATGCATCTTATATTTAATGTGTGTATCTGTCTCCAGCTCTGTGTAACCCTGTGTGTCTCAACGGCGGAACCTGCGTTCGCTCGAACTCCTGCACCTGCCAGCCTGGTTTCTACGGGACTCAGTGTCAAAACGGTATAACAGCCTTTCTTTTTGAATCAATGTTCCTGATGCATGGCCTTGTTTTTTGAGAGCTTACAGAGGCTGGATATCAATTTCTTAAGAGCGTGGGGTGAAGCATTTCTACTGCACTTTAAAACGATAAAATGGACCAGCCCTAAAAACCATTTGGATTCTATTGAAGTCTCGCGCTCATGTCGTAGCCCCAGATTCAGGGCGTATGATGTGTACATATCGATTCCTCTGCAGCAGCTTCATGTGGTGAGGAATGATTCGCATAATGGCTTGCAACAGCCACTTGGTAAAGATGTTTTTGATGATGGGGAATGACTCTAATGTCTGGGTTGCTTCAAGTTTTGTGAAATGTAGCAGCTTTTAGAGTGTGTTTTCCCAGTCATGTCAGATTTGCTGTTGGCTATTTCACCTTACGGCTGTTTGATGTGTCCGTCATCAGTTCAGAGAACACTGGTGTGATTTTCATTCATCAAATGCAGGACATTTTATGCACTTCTCTTTCTTTCAGCCGTGTGCAGTCCACCCTGCAAGAACGGAGGTCACTGTATACGAAACAATATCTGCTCATGTGTGGAGGGATATTCTGGGCCGCGCTGTGAGAAAAGTAAGTGTTGTCTTTCTGACAGGTTCCTGGAGGACTTCTATCCAACCTGAGCTTGATAGGAACAGGTTTTGGTAAAGCTCCAATCATAAACTTATAATTTTGTACCTCTATGCCCCCTTTGAAACACATGGCATGATGGGATTTAAGTCACAGCATACGGAAGGAAAGCATAGAGTTGTTTTGTTGATCGAAATGACAGAAAATGGCGCTCTGGGAGCCAAGATCAGACGTTAGTTGAAGAGTTACATATGGCCTGTCTGATCGAGGAGGAAGAAAGATGAATCTGAGCAAAGATAGTGAGTTATTTCAGTGTGAGGATTATGAGACATATGGGATCAGGACTGGATGAATTAATGTGGATGGCAAGTCTTGTTATATGAATATTCCAATTAAAATAACATTTAAGAATGTAATGTCTTTATGTTTAGGTCAAGTGTAAAAAAAAATATTTTTTTCCAAACACACTTCACACCGCAGAGAGTAAACGGCTTACTGATTTTTTTTTTTTTTTAAATACAGTGTTAATGAACAAAACGCTAATGCTAATAATAATAATAATAATAATGCAATATTAAGATATTCAATAATACAAAATAATATTTTAAATAGATACAATTCATAATGTTGTACAATAAAACATTGTTTAAAAAGTATTATTTGTAATAATATCAATAATGTCATATTTATTATATAATGAAAAAGAACATTTAAAAGAAAACATTTATAAATTAAAATTTGTGAGTAAAACATTCAATAAAATGCAAGTATTTATAATAATAATAATAATAATAATAATAATGTAATTTGTTATTAATGAAAGAACATTTTCAATAAAAAATCATAACTTATGAATAATAAAACATTTATTAAATTAAGTATTTATACTAATAATAAATATTTGATATAAAATAATGAAAAATAAAATTTTAAATATGAAAAGTAACTATTTAAATTATATAAAAAATCATAACTTATGAATAATAAAACATTTATTAAATTAAGTATTTATACTAATAATAAATATTTGATATTAAATAATGAAAAATACAATTTTAAATACGAAAGGTAACTTTATTTAAATTATATTTAAAAATATTATTTATAATAATAATAATCATAAAAAAGAAATAAAATCTGAAAAGTCCATAACTTTATTCTTATTATTAAATATTTTAGCAATTTTTTTCTTACTTGAATGATCAGTTCGTGGTGTCAAAGTTGTAATCAGTATTTCAGCCACATCTTGACCAATCAAACTCTAAAATCCATGTAAATTGCTTTGTCTGTCTACAAAAAAATAAAAAATAAAAATAAACGTTATTTTACCCTATTGGTCCAAGTAAATCCAAAGCTTTACCTTTCCATTTCTCCACAGGTGTGTGTGAGCCAGTGTGTATGAACGGAGGACGATGCGTTGGACCAGATGTGTGCGACTGTGCATCAGGCTGGAGGGGAAAGAGATGTGATAAACGTGAGTACCAAACCTCATCCTGACAAAGACCTCGAAGTGACCTCCTTACCTCATGTTAGCATTCTGAGAGAAGTGTCTTTAAACATAAATCTCACAGTTCTTATGTAATAATTAACAGAAACTATAACAATTCTACTTATATAATATAAAAATCACACTTTTGATAATGTGTTCCAGTGGTTTGAGCCTTGTTTGTCTGTTTGATGTAGTTGCTCTCTCTGTTTCTGTTCCTCCAGCTGTGTGTCTGCAGAAGTGTTTAAACGGAGGTGAATGTGTGGGGCCGAATACCTGCCACTGCCGTCCCGGCTGGAAGGGAACTCTCTGCCAAATCCGTAAGTGATTCCCATCCGAGTAACAGAAATGCAATCCTTTCACCACAATCACTGCGGTGAGACTCCAAAGACATGCACTTCACTCGCTCTCGTTCTCCGTAAAAGAATCTAAATTGCATCTCCTCTGTTCCTCTGCGGTTGTTGGCGATACGTTTTGGTGATTAACAGCACAGATTGTCTGTGTTTGGCAGGGGAGCAGGAATTCACGTTTACTGCTGGAAGTAAACGTGAATGCTAATGTCCTCACAAGGGGAGTGGATCGGGATCAGTTTAAAATGCCTTTGCCTTGAGCTTGACCTGTGTAGGAATGGTTCATTCAAAATTAAACTTTAGATCTAATGGTGACATATTTGAATGAGATTTGAGAGCTACGATGGATTTTTAAACTTGACTTGGATTTTGGGTCTTTTCATGACATACATTTTTAATATGGCATATAGGTTGTATGGACCAATTTATGATACCATATATGTGACCCTGGACCACAAAACCAGTCATAAGGGTCAATTTTTTCGAAATTGAGATTTGTACATCATCTGAACGCTGAATAAATAAGCTTTCCATTGATGTATGGTTTGTTAGGATAGGACAATATTTGGCTGAGATACAACTATTTGAAAATCTGGAATCTGAGGGTGCAAAAAATCAAAATATTGAGAAAATCGCCTTTAAAGTTGTCCATATGAAGTTCTTAGCAATGCATATTACTAATCAAAAATTATGTTTTAATATATTTACAGTAGGACATTTACAAAATATATTTTTGGAACATGATCTTTACTTAATATCTAATGATTTTTGGCATAAAAGAAAAATCAATAATTTTGACCCATACAATGTATTTTGGGCTATTGCTACAAATATACCCCAGTGACTTAAGACTGGTTTTGTGCTCCAGGGTCACATATGGTTTTTTGTCTGTTTGGAGCTTGACAGCATTTGTACTCGATTCACTTTCATATAGAAAAGAGCAACCAGGACATTCTTCAAAATTTCTTTTTTCAATCTTTAAGCTATTTTATAATTATTTATTAATCACACAAACACAGACACACATACATATATACATATTATATACAGTGTTGGGCAGTAACGCATTACTGTAATTTGATTATTTTTTTAGTAACGGAGTTTAACGCGCTATAATTTTCAAAATAGTAATTACAGTATAGTTACGAGCCGAAGTCTCTATACGTTACTGCCGCGTTACATTGCTGACAGAATGCAGTGTTTTATAATCTAGAGATTGTAAAAAGGATGTAGCACACGCACTGTCGAGTCCAGTGCCAGTGGATTAGAGACCTGCTCCCGCGAGACCCGACGCAACAGAGAAGGGGACAAGATGGGCGCGTGACAAGATGGGCGAGTGCTGGTGCGGCGGGTAGACACTCGTGTGTGTGCGGGATGCGGGAGAATAAAATGATTCGCGGGACTCCCGCAAATCCAGTGCCAATTAGAGCCCTGCTCCCGCGAGACCCGACGCAACAGAGAAGGGGACAAGATGGGCGCGTGACAAGATGGGCGAGTGCTGGTGCGGCGGGTAGACACTCGTGTGTGTGCGGGATGCGGGAGAATAAAATGTAATTAGTAATTTGATTACATTTTCAGAGTAACTTGCCCAACACTGATATTGAGATAGATATATATATAGATATATATATATAAAATGAAGAGTTCATTTGCAAAAACAGATAACTCCGTTTTAACAACTCTCAGTGATCATGCTTTTTCATTGTGCATTCCAATTAATCTCAATCAAATTGCACTAAAAAAAACAACTAACTAACACAAAACACAAAAACATGATAACATAATAAAAAACATGATTTTTGAAAATAAACAAAGTTATATGTTATCTGTTATCTGTTTTTGCAAATAAACTTCATATATATATACATATTTACATTTGATGAATTGTAAATGTTTATTTATTTTGCAATTTTATTTTATTTAGTTTTGATTAATTGTAGAATCAATATTATTTTTTGTTTGTTTGTTTGTTTTTCCAGTATCAATCGTTTTAATTTCTGCCATTACATTTGCATATTCCTTTGCATATCATGTTTTATATGTGTACTATGTTCTAAATCTATATCTAAAATATAACATGACAAACCATTAATAATGCCATGATTTCTCACAGCAATCTGTGAACAGAGGTGTTTGTACGGCAGCCGATGTGTCCGACCCAATGTGTGCGCTTGCAGAAGTGGCTACGTGGGAACTCTTTGCTCTAAGAAGGTAAAAATTAATTAATTAATTAATTAAATCAAAAAAATAAATTAGATAGTTAGTATTAACTTTTTTTTTTCTTTTTTTTTTTTACAGCTTCCCGTCCAGACAGGATGAGGAAATTACATCATCAGGTGTCATTGATGCACTGAGGACACTGGGCCCATATTTTAACCTGACAGGGTTACACTGTAAATATCACATCTGAAGATATTAATTTATGTATAAGGTATAATATGCTGTTTTTTTTCACGCTCTTCAATCGTTACTATATTTGTGAAAATGATTCCGAACAAAATAAATGTGTATTTTACATTTTTTTTGGTTCTTTTTGCTTAATTCTAACATCCACTCACATTATCTCCAGAAGATCTAAATATTTTTGCAATTCATTTAGGGATGCACGGTAGTGGCAAAAATCACACACTTCACCTCTAAATGACCTCTGATTCCTTAGGCCAGATTTTATTTGTAACTCACTGTAGTTTAAAGTCAAGTTTGACAGAAAAACAATCTCTCTTGGTATTCAAGCCAAGGCACAGACAATTTAGCATCCTTTGCCATTCTTCCTCCAACGACGTGGCCTGAAACCCAGCTGCACTCTGTTTCTCTGAGGACGTCCCCTTTAATGTGACTGGAATGTTAAAAAAAAAAACACGTAAACATGCTGTTTGTGTCACGCCTGGCGGAGCGTGCAGTGGCTGCAGTTTTACCGCAGATCGCTTGGCAAATATAAACAGACACCTCGGTGACAACACAAACAAGCATCTGAACTAATTAACGGCCATTGATGGCGGCCATTAATGAGTCAGCCACAGATAGTTCCTCTCATGCATAGCTAATAATCCAGCTGTTCGCATACGATTACCTGTGGTGCGCAAAAATAAAGAGAAAAGGACGGTAAACATTTAAGAGCTCGCAGAGGACAATAAACTGTTCATCACTAGTTTGAAAGGGTTATGAGGAGGCCAATTAGTGTTTGATTTATTGATTATGAATAATTATGAAATACACACACACACGGTTCTGGAAAAACTGGAGGGTTTTTTTGCAAGATGTTTATTCTGCAAGAAAACATTAAATTGCTTCTTGACTTTCTATTAAGCAAAAAAAAAAAAAAAATTATCCTAAAAAAAAAAAAAAGTATCACTGTTTCCACAAACAAAAAAATTTAAACACCAAAACTGTTTTCAAACTGATAATAATAAATGTTTCTTGAGCAGCAAATCAGCATTTTAGAATGATTTCTGAATCATTCTGAATTCTGACTGGAGTAATGATGCTGAAAATTCAGCTTTGCATCACAGGAATAAATTACATATTCAAATAGAAAACAGTGATTTTACATTTTAATAATACTCCATAATATTACCATCTGACCTCAAAACAATCTTACAATCCCCAAACTTTTGAACCTTGTGGACCACTTTAATGGCACTTTTGCATCCTTTTAGCCTCCATCCCCATTCATTGTAATTGCCTGGAAAATAGTGATCGTTATTATAGACTTTAGTCAATGTAGCATCATCATTTCCGACAGGAATAGAACGAGACTGTGAGGGATAGAAATACAATGTGTTCAGCGGATATGGTTGTTTAACATCTTACCGATTTTAGTAAGCTGATTAAACATATCTTTCCGAAAAAAGAAGAAGAAAAAAAAAACTTTCAGTAGATAAAAACTCCACAAAACAGTTTTGAAAGTTGCGAGTTGTGAAAATTGATACATAATACATTTATGCAGCACACAACATTGCAAAAACTATAAGTCTATCCCTCACAGCCTCGTTATCATCCGTATAAAATTCAATGTCATCTAACCTGATTTTCTGTGAACGTGAGACAGTTAACTTAACTATAAAACAACATTTAACTAAACAGTAAAACAATCTACGCTACAAGTGGTTTTGTGGTTATGATCATAACTTAAAATAATGACGCCAAATTAAATACCAGCTTGCAATATCAATCACCTAAACGAACTGTTTTTGTACAGCTAAAATAACTGAAAGGCAATGACACCGGAAGTGTCGCACATTCACCATACAAAATGGCCTTCGCGTGCCGCTCTTACGTTTAAAATAAATCACGCTCACCTTTAAATTAAGGTGGATTAGGAGGAGTAAATGATGAAAGAATTGTAAGTGAACTGCCTCTTTTAAGGTCTGCCCGTCGTCATGCAGGGCTTTCGACTTTTCTGAAGTATTACGGAAAGTCATACGGGATTTTCAGATAACTCTTCAATTAAAGACATCAAGAATCCTGCGAGGTAAGATCATTCAACAAGTTCACAACTAAGCGCCTTATCAATGTGTGTGTGGCTGAGAGAGTGTGTGTGTTTTCACGGAGAGGCGTAGCTTCCTGTCTCGTACCTCCCGCTAAGATGGTATGACAAAGAATTTCATCATCTCACTGTCAGGCGCAGGTTGTAGATTACCGCCGCAGGTGGTGTGAACTTCCACAGACTGGGAATAGGAACACGAGGATTATGGGGGGGAAAAAAACGGCAACCTGGATTTTAATCGTAATACTTTAGAATTCATCAAGGTCAGTCGATTACTGACAAACGGCCCCGGCAGTAAAATATTCATTTGAGCGGGCGCCAAAGAAACAAGCAACATATGCACAAAGTCTGTCAAAGTCTTTTCAATTCAATTCTTTTTTGTCTCACATAGCCTACATAAATATCAACACAGATGGAAACGCTGGCAGAGTTGTAGGCTTTTATTAGGCTAGTGTACACACACACATATAAATTATGTTGATTATATTATACCCATACAAGTTTTACATTGTAAGCATGCACTGCAAAATAAAATAAATACATTTAAAAAATGAAAAAAAATTGTTAGAATTTCTGCTTGAAATTTAGTTTATATAATGAAATATTATAATACTATTAATAATAATAATAAATTTTCATTCATAATTTATTTTTTATTTCATTTATTTACTTATTTATTGATAACATTAATGAATTTTTAGGATAATATTTGCTTACTATTCATGAAAATGTTTCAGTGGAGGGGAAAAAATAAATATTGTCATCATTTACTCTTGTTCCAAATCTGTTTCTTCTTTTCTTTTCTTTTTTCTTTTTCTTTTTGAACACAAAAGATGATATTTTGAAGAATATTGGTAACCCCATAGTTGCTGGTAGGTATTGACCTCAATAGTATTTTTTCCTCATATATGGAAGTCAGTGGCTACCAGCAACTGTTTGGTTACCAAGAATACCAACATTCTTCAAAATATCTTCTTTTGTGTTCAGCAGAAGAAAGAAACTCATACAGGTTTGGAAAAACTTGAGGGTGAGTAAGTGATGACAGAATTTTCATTTTCGGGTGAACTATCCCTTTAATGGTCCTAAAAACAGCCTTCCTTCTATTGGTGTATAATAGAATTAGTTTTTTCTTTTGATTTTGAAGTGGACTCCATTTCTCCATAAGCTAAAAAAAACGTTTTATGAAGTCTTGACCTAATTAATGAAAAACATTTTTTTTTTTTTTTTTTATTAAAGGGGTCATATGATGCGATTTCATTTTTTCCTTTTTTCAGACCGATGAGTTTTGTAAAAATCGACGCGTTTCAGAAGGCGGGGCATATAGGAGAAACAATAATGTACAGTATGTGGAAAATAATGTGTTTTTTTTACTTTAAACCGCATAAACACATTTCATTACACCAAATACACAAAATAATGTTCTTTTTAGCAGCATCATATGACCCCTTTAATATTCAACAGATTGCTGACAGTCTGTCCTTTAGATCTTGGAAATGTCTCATTATAACGTGACCTTGAGAAAGGAATTTATAGTTATAAAGTCTTAAATGTTTTAAATATTGTTTGTGTGTGCATCTTATTTGTGATTAATCAGTCATGTGCATGAATCATGCACATAATTATAATATCAGTGCAGATATGCTACTGTGTTTTTCTGGTTTATGCTTATTAAATAATAAAAATAAAAAAATAGTGTAGTTATAATCTAATGTAATATATTTGTATTATATGCATTTATTAATTATTGAACACTAGTGTCTTTTATGATACTGCAGCTGCAGCCATTTATAAATAGAAATATAATATGAGAGGCTGTACATTACAGTCATGTAATGTCAAAGCAGTTAGTTAATAAGCTTCACTCTGTATCATAATGCACTACCTCTCATGATTGCTTTAACAATCATGTCTCAAGGTCTCTTTAAACATATGGGGCCACAAAGGAAGATTAAGCCGTATATTTGCATTCTTACCTCCGTCAGTGTTGTTATTTAGCACGTTGAGATGTGTTAACTATGCTGAGGAGGATGCTGACCGCTTTCTAACATCTTTTTGTCAAGCTGTGATTCTCACTCCATGTGTTATAATTAAACCTGTTGGGGATTGTCCAGTAAATGCTAGATACTCGCTCTAATCACATCTAGAGGTCATACTGAAAGATGACGAGCTTAATTTGATCTATTATTTGAACTTGATACGAGTCATGAGGCGAGATATTTTACTGATCAGCAACGCATTTTTCTATAGTCAGTTAGCAGCTTATATTCAAAGCAGTTAGGCTGCAGAGGAAGGTTGGAAGAACAAGAAAATGGTGAGAAACACAATCCGCTTTAAGTTTTTCCTCATCCAGCTCTTTAAGACATGTTCCTTTGTCAATAAATATGTTAGCTTGGATTGCAGATTAGCACAAGCTTTAAATTAAACAAGTTAGTGTAGGTTGTTTTCCTCAAAGATGCTTTGAATAATAATTTTTAAAAAAGTGTTTGCTAAATGAATAAATATAAATGTTGTAAATTAGCTTATCTGAACGAGCTAAATTAGTTACCTGACCATGTATTTATCTATTTGAAGTTATAAGTAGTTGTGTAGCCAGCGGTTAGCCACTCATTAGTGGAGAATAAACCCCTCAGAGTGATACAAGAGCAGTCTGCTTCATGCCAAGGTCCTGATCACCCTGTCTGGGTTTATTTAGCGTTAATGACCCGCTAACTACATTATTCCTGAATTAACAGTTCATTCAGGAAGATAAATGAAATCGCTTCTTAATGTCACTGTATGCTAGTCAGAGATCCCATTAAGAGGCTGTTCATGTAGCTACAAATGTATGTGGACAAATCTGCTAAAACTAAAATGCTGTAGTCCATGCTCGTAAGACCACCACACAGGAGATTAGAGAAGAAAAGGGAAAAGAAGAAAGGAGAGCAGTTTTCTGGCCATAGTTCAAATCTCTCAAGAATGATGACTCCGAGAA